CTGACCAACACAGACTGACCAACACAGACTGACACTACACAGACTGACCAACACACACTGACTGACCACAGACTGACCAACACAGACCTGACCAACACAACTGACCAACACAGACTGACTGACCAACACAGACTGACCAACACAGACTGACAACACACTGACCAAACACGACTGACCTACACAGACTGACCTACACAGACTGACCACACAGGACTGACCAACACAGACTGACCAACACAGACTGACACAGACTGACAGACACACACAGACTGACCAACACAGACTGACCAACACAGACTGACAACACTGACCAACACAGACTGACCAACACAGACTGACCAACACAGACTGAACACAACACAACAGACTGACCAACACAGACTGACCAACACAGACTGACCAACACAGACTGACCAACACACTGACACACAACACACTGACACACTGACACACACTGACCAACACAGACTGACCAACCACACAGACTGACCAACACAGACTGACCTACACAGACTGACCAACACAGACTGCCAACACACTGACCACACAGACTGACCAACACACACTGACCAACACAGACTGACCAACACACACTGACCAACACACACTGAACACACTGACACTGACCAACACAGACTGACCAACACAGACTGACCTACACAGACTGACCAACACACACTGACCAACACAGACTGACACAGACTGACAACACAGACTGACCAACACACACTGACCAACACACACTGACCAACACACACTGACCAACACAGACTGACACAGACTGACCTACACAGACTGACCAACACACACTGACCAACACAGACTGACCAACACAGACTGACCAACACAGACTGACCAACACAGAGGACGAAATAATGACCCGACCTGAGAGAAAAACTCTTCCCTCGGACGCAGCAGGAGCCAGACTTTGATTTAATGAACAAAACTTTAACACTTTTACTTTAGTCTTTACGCACCGAGCGCCAGAGTGACCCGAGTCTGTGACCCGAGTCTGTGACCCGAGTCTGTGACCCGAGTCTGTGACCCGAGTCTGTGGACAACACGAAGTCTACTGCCCGAACCTGACCCCAACCAAAATCTTCCCTACATTTTTGTGTAATGTGGAACTGAGCACATCTCACAGACCCGCGCTCACAGACCCGCGCTCACAGACCCACACTCACAGACTCACAGACCCACACTCACAGACCCCACCACCCCACACAGACACAGACCCACACTCACAGACCCACACTCACAGACACACCACACTCACAGACCCACACTCACAGACCCACACTCACAGACACAGACACACACTCACAGACCCACACTCACAGACACAGACACACAGACCCACACTCACAGACCCAGACTCACAGACCCGCACTCACAGACCCGCGCTCACAGACCCGCGCTCACAGACCCACACTCACAGACACAGACACACAGACCCACACTCACAGACCCACACTCACAGACACAGACACACAGACCCACACTCACAGACCCACACTCACAGACCCAGACACACACAGACCCACACTCACAGACCCACACTCACAGACACACAGACACACAGACCCACACTCACAGACCCACACTCACAGACCCAGACACACAGACCCACACTCACAGACCGACACACACTCACAGACCCAGACCCACAGACCCGCACTCACAGACCCGCACTCACACTCACACAGACCCACACTCCACAGACACTCACAGACCCACCTCACAGACCACACTCACAGACACAGACACACAGACCCGCGCTCACAGACCCACACTCACAGACCCACACTCACAGACCCACACTCACAGACCCGCACTCACAGACCCGCACTCACAGACCCGCACTCACAGACCCGCACTCACAGACCCGCACTCACAGACCCACACTCACAGACCCCACACTCACAGACTCACAGACCCACACTCACAGACACACAGACCCACACTCACAGACTCACAGACCCACACAGACCCACACTCACAGACACAGACCCACACTCACACACTCACAGACCCACACTCACACTCACAGACACCCACAGACCCACACTCACAGACCCAGACTCACACTCACAGACCCACACTCACACTCACAGACCCACACTCACACTCACAGACCCACACTCACACTCACAGACACAGACACACACAGACCCACACTCACAGACCCACACTCACAGACCACACTCACAGACCCACACTCACACTCACAGACCCACACTCACACACCACACCACACTCACAGACACACACTCACAGACCACACTCACAGACACAGACACACAGACCCACACTCACAGACCCACACTCACAGACACAGCACACAGACCCACACTCACAGACCCCACACTCACAGACCCACACTCACACTCACACAGACCCACACTCACAGACCCACACTCACAGACCCACACTCACAGACCCACACTCACAGCTCACACTCACAGACCCGCTCACAGACCACACTCACCACCCACACTCACACTCACAGACCCACACTCACAGACCACACTCACAGACCCACACTCACAGACCCACACTCACAGACCCACACTCACACCCGCGCTCACACTCACAGACCCGCGCTCACACTCACAGACCCACACTCACAGACCCACACTCACAGACCCACACTCACAGACCCACACTCACAGACCCACACTCACAGACCCGCGCTCACACTCACAGACCCGCGCTCACAGACCCGCGCTCACAGACCCGCGCTCACAGACCCGCGCTCACAGACCCGCGCTCACAGACCCACACTCACAGACCCGCGCTCACACTCACAGACCCGCGCTCACAGACCCGCGCTCACAGACCCGCGCTCACAGACCCGCACTCACAGATTCAGCAGTTTGGATGTTTGGTGTGGACTTTTATTGGCAGAATAACATCTGTATCTGATGTGTTTCATGTTAAATCTGTGTCCTCGTGTCCTTCCCTCGCTCCTTTCGCTCTCCAGGGGAGGGCATCTGAATCTCTCGCACGCGCACATAATTTGCGCGTGCACGTATCTACGTGTATGTGCATAAATACAGGACCAGTCCACACACACTTCATAGACACACTTAAAAATATAGAGATAAAACTCTTGAAACAGTGAAAAAACACACGTGTTTTACTGCAAAGATGTGCTGCCTAAATATTATGAAATATGATTAAATGAAAAGATGAGTCATTGTTGTCACTTTTAGTTTTGTATTTATTTATTAAACGAGGTTTAATAAAGTCTTTAATAAAGTGTTTGTCGTGATCACGTGGTGCTGCGTGGAGCCTCCTCCCTCTGTCCCGCGGGTCTCAAACCCACTGATTATCGACTCATGTTTAGGGAAATCTCCTTCACCAGTCACTTTACCTGCTCCTTTTATGGTGAGGTGGAGGTGTGAGGGGGCGTGGTCTGTCCTTTTATGGTGAGGTGGAGGTGTGAGAGGGCGTGGTCTGTCCTTTTATGGTGAGGTGGAGGTGTGAGGGGGCGTGGTCTGTCCTTTTATGGTGAGGTGGAGGTGTGAGGGGGTTGCAGGTTTGGTTCGTGCGGTGGGTTTTCTAAATGTGGAGTTTGTGTGGCGCACGTCTGTCGTAGCTACAGACGAACGCACTAACTTACCACAACTCCTGCGCAGTTTTTATAAATGAGGCCCCAGGTCTGGACCAGGTCTAAACCAGGACTGAACCAGGACTAAAGCCGGTCTGTGTTTGCCTCTGGTCCAGGACTCGGTGTGGCTCGGACTCGGTGGTCGGTGGAGACTCGGTGTTGTTCCGTTCTGTTCCTGTTGGAGGCGCTGAGGAGCTGCAGGTCGAGTGCAGCAAACTCCAGGACGTCGTGAACAAGATGGTGAGTCTGAAACGAGACGCTCCAGGACCTGCTTGTTTGTTTGTTTTTTGTTTGTTTGTTTTTTGTTTGTTTTTTTGTTTGTTTGTTTGTTTGTTGTTTGTTTGTTTTTTGTTTGTTTTTTTTGTTTGTTTGTTTTTGTTTTTTGTTTGTTTGTTTTTTGTTTGTTTGTTTGTTTGTTTGTTTTTTGTTTGTTTGTTTGTTTGTTTGTTTGTTTGTTTTTGTTTGTTTTTTGTTTGTTTTTTGTTTGTTTGTTTGTGCTGCAGGTGTCGGTTTCATTGAAATGTGGAGGAGCAAGAACTTTAAAAACAAACTGGTTTAGTCCTGGTTTAGTTCTGGTTTAGTCCTGGTTTAGTCCTGGTTTAGTCCTGGTTTAGTCCTGGTTTAGTTCTGGTTTAGTCCTGGTCTAACCGTGGTCTTGTGTCCTGCTTTAGTCCAGTTTGGTTCTGAAGTTGGACCGGTTGTTGGACTCTCACTCTGGACTCTTGGATCTGGACCAGTTCAGGACCCAAGGCCAGACCCTGCCCCTGTTCCAGACCTGGACCACAGCAGACTTTGGTGAGTCCAGCTTTAGTCCTGGTTTAGTTCTGGTTCAGTCCTGGTTTAGTCCTGGTTCAGTCCTGGTTTAGTCTTGGTTTAGTCCTGGTTCAGTCCTGGTTTAGTCCTGGTTTAGTCCTGGTTTAGTCCTGGTTTTCCTGGTTTAGTCCTGGTTTAGTCCTGGTTTACCTGGTTAGTCCTGGTTTAGTCCTGGTTTAGTCCTGGTTTAGTCCTGGTCCTGGTTTAGTCCTGGTTTAGTCCTGGTTTAGACCTGGTTTAGTCCTGGTTTAGTCCTGGACCTGGTTTAGTCCTGGTTTAGTCCTGGTTTAGTCCTGGTTCAGTCCTGGTTCAGTCCTGGTTTTAGTTCCTGGTTTAGTTTAGTCCTGGTTTAGTCCTGGTTTAGACCTGGTTTAGTCCTGGTTTAGTCCTGGTTTTCTGGTTTAGTCTGGTTTAGTCCTGGTTTAGTCCTGGTTTAGACCTGGTTTAGACCTGGTTTAGTCCTGGTTTAGTCCTGGTTTCAGTCCTGGTTCAGTCCTGGTTAGTCCTGGTTTAGTTCTGGTTTAGTCCTGGTTTAGTCCTGGTTTAGTCCTGGTTTAGACCTGGTTTAGACCTGATTTAGTGGTTTAGACCTGGTTTAGTCCTGGTTTTACCTGGTTTAGTCCTGGTTTAGTCCTGGTTTAGTTTAGTCCTGGTTTAGTCCTGGTTTAGTCCTGGTTTAGTCCTGGTTTAGTCCTGGTTTAGTTTAGTTCTGGTTTAGTCCTGGTTCAGTCCTGGTTTCAGTCCTGGTTTAGTCCTGGTTTAGTCCTGGTTCAGTCCCGGTTTAGTCCCGGTTTAGTCCCGGTTCAGTCCCGGTTTAGTCCCGGTTCAGTCCCGGTTTAGTCCCGGTTCAGTCCCGGTTTAGTCCCGGTTCAGTCCTGGTTCAGTCCCGGTTTAGTTCTGGTTCAGTCCTGGTTTAGTCCTGGTTTAGTCCTGGTTCAGTCCTGGTTTAGTCCTGGTTTAGTCCTGGTTAATTCCTGGTTCAGTCCTGGTTCAGTCCTGGTTTAGTTCTGGTTCAGTCCTGGTTTAGTCCTGGTTTAGTTCTGGTTCAGTCCTGGTTTAGTCCTGGTTTAGTTCTGGTTTCAGTCCTGGTTTAGTCCTGGTTTAGTTCTGGTTCAGTCCTGGTTTAGTCCTGGTTTAGTTCTGGTTCAGTTCTGGTTCAGTCCTGGTTCAGTCCTGGTTTAGTCCTGGTTCAGTCCTGGTTTAGTCCTGGTTTAGTCCTGGTTTAGACCTGGTTTAGACCTGGTTTAGACCTGTTTTAGTCCTGGTTTAGTCCTGGTTTAGTCCTGGTTTAGTCCTGGTTTAGACCTGGTTTACCTGGTTTTCCTGGTTTAGTCCTTGGTTTAGACCTGGTTTAGACCTGGTTTAGTCCTGGTTTTAGAGTCCTGGTTTAGACCTGGTTTAGTCCTGGTTTAGTCCTGGTTTAGACCTGGTTTAGACCTGGTTTCCTGGTTTAGTCCTGGTTTTAGTCCTGGTTTAGACCTGGTTTAGTCCTGGTTTAGTCCTGGTTTAGTCCTGGTTTAGTCCTGGTTTAGTCCTGGTTTAGTCCTGGTTTAGTCCTGGTTTAGTCCTGGTTTAGTCCTGGTTTAGTCCTGGTTTAGTCCTGGTTTAGTCCTGGTTTAGACCTGGTTTAGTCCTGGTTTAGTCCTGGTTTAGTCCTGGTTTAGTTCTGGTTCTTGAAGCTCAGACTTTGTGCGTTTGTTTCTTTAAAGTTTCTTGTTGTATATTTTATTTAATTTGATTTTTTTGGGGCAGAGTTTTGGGCGAGTTCGGTCCGGTCCTGGTTCAGGTCTGAGTTGGACCTGAAGACCCTGATCCTCCAGGACTTGGCCCACTGCGAGAGTCCGGACATGATCCTGGTCTACCTGAGTCTGTGGCTCCACCAGCCCCACATCCCGGTCCAGACCAGACTCGGACTCGAGGCACTTCTACTGGAGACCGGCCACCGGGACCTCAGAGACCGAGACCTCAGAGACCGAGACCGGGACCTCAGAGACCGAGACCTCAGAGACCGAGACCGGGACCTCAGAGACCGAGACCTCAGAGACCGAGACCGGGACCTCAGAGACCGAGACCTCAGAGACCGAGACCGGGACCTCAGAGACCGAGACCTCAGAGACCGAGACCGGGACCTCAGAGACCGAGACCGGGACCTCAGAGACCGAGACCTCTGAGACTGAGACCGGGACCTCAGAGACCGAGACCGGGACCTCAGAGACCGAGACCGGGACCTCAGAGACCGAGACCTCTGAGACTGAGACCGGGACCTCAGAGACCGAGACCTCTGAGACTGAGACCGGGACCTCAGAGACCGAGACCGGGACCTCTGAGACTGAGACCGAGACCGAGACCTCTGAGACCGAGACTGGGACCTCAGAGACCGAGACCGGGACCTCTGAGACTGAGACCGAGACCTCTGAGACCGAGACTGGGACCTCAGAGACCGAGACCGGGACCTCAGAGACCGAGACCGGGACCTCTGAGACCGAGACCGGGACCTCAGAGACCGAGACCGGGACCTCTGAGACTGAGACCGAGACCGAGACCTCTGAGACCGAGACTGGGACCTCAGAGACCGAGACCGGGACCACTGAGACCGAGACCGAGACCTCTGAGACCGAGACTGGGACCTCTGAGACTGAGACCGAGACCGAGACCTCTGAGACCGAGACCGGGACCTCAGAGACCGAGACCGGGACCTCAGAGACCGAGACCGGGACCTCAGAGACCGAGACCGGGACCTCAGAGACCGAGACCGGACCTCAGAGACCGAGACCGGGACCTCAGAGACCGAGACCTCAGAGACCAAGACCGGGACCTCCGAGACCGAGACTGGGACCTCAGAGACCGAGACTGGGACCTCAGAGACCGAGACTGGGACCTCAGAGACCGAGACTGGGACCTCTGAGACCGAGACCTCAGAGACCGGGACCTCAGAGACCGGGACCGGGACCTCAGAGACCGAGACCTCAGAGACCGAGACCGGGACCTCAGAGACCGAGACCGGGACCTCAGAGACCGAGACCGGGACCTCAGAGACCGAGACTGGGACCTCAGAGACCGAGACCGAGACCTCTGAGACCGAGACCGGGACCTCTGAGACTGGCTCCAAACCGGGTCTAACACGGGTCCAGACCTCGTGACAGGGTCTGGACCTGACCTAGTTTAGTCCTGGTTCATCCTGGTCCTGTTTATATTTGTGTTTGTGAACCTGATCCGGTCCAAGTCCTGGTCTGGTCCCGGTTTAGTCTGAGCTGGTGACAGTTACATAAGACGACTCTGCCGCTATGTTCAGTATGTGACACCGGACCCCCCCCCCCCCACCACACACACACACACACACACACACACACACACACACACACACACACCCACACACACACACACACACACACACACACACACACACACACACACACACACACACACACGGTGGGGGGGGCAGGGGGAGGGTCTCGGTCTCAGGTTTATAAAAGACCTCAGAGTCCAGAGACCGGAGTTTGGCCGAAAGAGCTTCTGACCAGACCAGAACCGGACCAGCATCAAACCACCATCAGGACCAAGAACTGGACCAAGAACCAGGACCAAGAACTGGACCAGATTTCCTCCAGGACCTGAAGAAACTCATCTGTGGACCTGAGGACTGAACCAGGTCTAAATCAGGTCTAAACCAGGTCTAAACCAGGTCTAAACCAGGATCTCGTCTGGACTTTGATCTTGTTTTTTTGTTGTTGATTTTTGAGGCTCGTCGATAATTGTCAATTTTTCAGAATTGATTTGCATTTTGAGCCAAACGACGAAGAGCTGCACCTGTCACACCTGCCCCTGTCACCTGTCACCTCTGTCACCTGTCACCTGCCCCTCTGTCCCTGTTGTCCGTCTCCTGATTGGCTCCTGAGATGCTGCTGTCCCCGCCCCCTCCCTCGGCCCTGTCGCCGCCCCCTCTGGCCCCGCCCCCTGCGGTCCTGCGGGAGGCGGAGCGCGGCGTGTTCGCGTTCTACGTGCTGGTGCGGGACGGCGCCCCCGTGTGGCGTCTGGAAGAGGCGCGGCGTCTGGAGGTGCGGGTGTGGGACGGGGGGCGGGGCCAGCTGGCGCCGCTGTCCCCGGGGCAGGCGCTCGTGTACGCGCTCGTGCACGACCGCTCGGACTACGCCGCCGCCCTCCTGCGGCGCCACGGCCTCGCCGCGCTCACGCCCGAACCCTGCGCCTTCTGCACGCGCTCAGTAGGACCCGTGCACCTGCGGCTCGCCGTCCGCTACGACCGACAGGAGGCGCTGCGCCTCATCCTGGACACGCTCACGGTGAGTCTGGTCCGGTCCCGGTCTAGTCCTGGTCTAAACCTGGTCTAGTCCTGGTCTAAACCTGGTCTAGTCCTGGTCTAAACCTGGTCTGGTCCCGGTCTAACCCGGTCTGTCCATGGTCTTAGTCCCGGTCTGTCTGAGGTCTTAGTCCCGGTCTTGGTCCCGGTCTAACCCGGTCTGTCTCTGGTCCGGTCCAGGCGAGTCTGTCTCCGGGGGACGTGTCTTCGTACCTGGACTCTCGGGCGTTCTGTTCTCACCTGGACGGCGGCGACGCGGCGGTGGCGGTCGCCGTGGCGATGGGGCGCTCGCGGTGCCTGCTGATGCTGTTGGCGTCCGGCGCCGCGGCGACGGGGCTGGAGGCGGGGCTTCGGCGGCTGGAGGCGGGGCCGGAGGCGGGCCGGGGGGCGGAGCGAGAGGCCCTCAGGTGCGTGTATTTCCTGCTGCTGTTCGGACACGCCCCCTCGCCGCGCCCCCTGGAGGCGGGGCTCAGGGGCGTTCTGGGAGAGCCGCTCTTCCATTGGCTGTCGGGTCGGGCCCCACCCACTCTCCTCCTGCACGCGCTCAGAAGCATCGCCCGGACGGCGCCGGAATCCATCACCAAACTGCCCCCGGGACTTTTGTAGTACAAAGACTCCTGTAAGAACTACAACTACTGCTACTGCTACTACTACTACTACTACTACTACTACTACTACTACTACTACTACTGCTACTACTACTACTACTACTACTACTACTACTACTACTACTACTACTACTACTACTACTACTACTACTACTGCTGCTACTACTACTACTACTACTACTACTACTACTACTACTACTACTACTACTACTACTACTACTACTGACTACTACTACTACTGCTACTACTACTACTTCTACTGCTACTACTACTACTACTACTACTGCTACTGCTACTTCTACTGCTACTGCTACTACTACTACTACTGCTACTACTACTACTACTACTACTACTACTACTACTACTACTACTGCTACTACTACTACTACTACTACTGCTACTACTACTACTGCTACTGCTACTACTTCTGCTACTGCTACTACTACTACTGCTACTACTACTACTACTACTACTACTACTACTACTACTTCTGCTACTGCTACTGCTACTACTACTACTACTACTACTGCTACTGCTACTACTTCTGCTACTGCTACTACTACTACTGCTACTACTACTACTACTACTACTACTACTACTACTACTACTGCTACTGCTACTGCTACTACTACTACTACTACTACTGCTACTACTACTACTACTGCTACTACTACTTCTACTCGTGCAGTAGTAAACTGTCCCTGGATTCCTTCGAGTACAATAAGTTCTTCAGTAAAACTTCCACCTGCCGACACCACAGACTTTTATGTAAATAAAGTGTAAATACTGACTCCTCCCCCTCCGCCCCTGACTCCTCCCCCTCTGCTCCTGACTCCTCCCCCTCTGCCCCTGACTCCTCCGCCCCTGACCCCTCCTCCCCTGACTCCTCCCCCTCCGCCCCTGACTCCTCCCCCTGTTGATTTGTAAATATTTGTAAATAAACAAAGTCGTGATTCAGTCTCATGTTTTATTTCTGGAGCCACAGAATCTGAGCCGTTTTTTTTCTCCCGTTTTAAAATAAGAAAAAATCATCTGAAACATGACACGAGTTACAGTTAAAATGACTTGAGTTACAGTTAAAATGACTTGAGTTAGGGTTGGTACAAGTTTTCATCCAGGAGGAGGAAATCTCACGACTTTCAACAGGCCCAAAGTTCGGCCTCTGTCGCTGTAAATAAAGACGTTTTAGTCACATTTGTGATAAACTCTAAAAACTCCAGATCAGAGTCTGACCTTTGACCTCTGCTCCAGACGACAGCCGTACAGGTCAGAGGTCAGAGGTCAGTAGAGCATCACTGACCACGTTTACATGAGAGATTTAATTCTGAATCAAAATCATTTAATTGTGAATAAAATTTAATTTGTCTTTCAAACGTCCGAACACTTAATTCCAACTAAAAAAGTTGATTGTGAATTAAACTTCATAGTGAAGTAACTGGTTTCTTCTCATTTTAAAGCTGCATGAATTTCTTCGTGAGTTTCTTCAGAATAATCCCGGTGGTTCGGCTCGTGCTTCTGATCCAGACTCAATCCAGAGAGAATTCTCCGGAACCACGTCGGGTCCAAATGTTCTGGACGGTGTTTGTGTCGGTGGAGGAACCACAAACCAGACGACAGAAAAGACACGAGCAGTTCAAGTGTTTGTGTTTAAATCTGTTGGTGTTTCTGTCCAATCAGAACCTCCCCCAGACGCTCACACACAGGAAATCAAAAACATCTCACCAGTTTAACACCAAACAACAAGAAACATCATTATTATTATTATTATTATTATTATTTATTTACATGGAAACAAGATGAGATTTGAATTCAGAATTTGAAAAACCTCATGTAAACGTGTAAATCTGACCAACAACAAAGACCCCGCCCCCTTTTCTGTGGCCGCAGACGCCTCCAACCAGAGACGAGACCAGGGCCAAATGAAGCTCATGGGGGGCAGCAGGAACAGAAGTCGGGGCAGATGAAGCTTTTGTTCCACAGTTTCTTAATTTAATTTCCTCTGGACAAACTTTTACAGTTTTGATTCTTTTTACAAACTTGAACCGTTTCACATTTGACAAAAATGGCAACAAAACATGAAAAAACAAAACAAAACATGAAATAAAATGTAAACTAAAGACAGAGTGACCCCTGCAGGTCCAACAGTGAAGTGCAGTTTGACTAAAGTGCTTCCACAAACCACAAACCCACAAAAGTTCAGATTTCACTTTGACGTCAGAGTTTATCCCTTTTTCTCCCAAACACTTTTCACATTTAAATCACAGACTCCATTTCCCATCAGCCCCCTCTCCACCTCCACACTTCTATCACTAAAGACGTGTCTTCATAAACTACACAGGAACTCCATTTCCCATGAGGCTTTGCTCCTGAGTTCCATTTTAGATTCAGTAACGTTTGGTTTAGTTCAGTGTTTAATCGTGTCAAGTTCCCTTTAAAACAAACTACATTTCCCATGAGGCCTTGCTCCCGGCGCTCAGAGGTTAGACGAGCTCCTATTGGCCGTTTTAAACGTTAGACTTTAATGTTAAAGTTACATTTGTGAGAAATATTTAAATTAGAGAAAACTCTGCTCCTATTGGTCCACGTGAGTCGCCGCTCTCTTCTCATTGGCTGCGTGTGCGTCAGATGAGCTCCCATTCGTCGTCGCCGTCCTCCGCGCTCAGTGATGTCACCGAGGGGGCGTGGCCTCTGTTGGCGGAGGAGGTGGGGCCAGGGCAATGTGGGAGGAGCTTCGTTAAACGGCGAGACAAAAGTCCATTTGGTGTCACGGCCCAGAGCTCGTCTCCCGGGGTCACTGCGGAAAAACCAACGCCACATCGTTACGCCGGAGCCGACAGGACCGACAGGAGCCGACAGGACCCGACAGGACCCGACAGGAGCCGACTGGACCCGACAGGACCCGACAGGAGCAGGCAGGAGCCGACAGGACCCGACAGGAGCACTCACCCGTCGGGCAGGAGCACTCACCCGTCAGACAGGAGCACTCACCCGTCAGGCAGGAGCACTCACCCGTCAGACAGGAGCACTCACCCGTCAGGCAGGAGCACTCACCCGTCAGGCAGGAGCACTCACCCGTCAGACAGGAGCACTCACCCGTCAGACAGGAGCACTCACCCGTCAGGCAGGAGCACTCACCCGTCAGACAGGAGCACTCACCCGTCAGACAGGAGCACTCACCCGTCAGACAGGAGCACTCACCCGTCAGGCAGGAGCACTCACCCGTCAGGCAGGAGCACTCACCCGTCAGACAGGAGCACTCACCCGTCAGGCAGGAGCACTCACCCGTCAGACAGGAGCACTCACCCGTCAGACAGGAGCACTCACCTGTCAGGCAGGAGCAGGTCCCGGGGCTGCGTCTCCAATAATCTCCTGCACAGTTTTTCTGTGAGACGCCGACTCTCCGAGAAACTTCTCCATTTACACCACGAACCCAAACCGAGTCCAGACCCAACAGGACCTGAGCCACCAGAAGACCTACAACCAGACCCCAACCAGACCACAGACCAGGGTTAGACCAGGTGTTTGACTCGTGTTTGTGTTTGTTATATATATATATATATATATATATATATATATACACACACATATATATATATATATATATTTATATATTTTGTATATTTATATATTTGTATATTTATATATTTGTATATTTGTATATTTATATATTGTATATTATATATTTGTATATGATATATATATTGTATATTTTTATATATTTGTATATTATATATTTATATATTTATATATTTGTATATTTGTATATTTATATATTTGTATATTTGTATATTTATATATTTATATATTTGTATATTTGTATATTTATATATTTGTATATTTGTATATTTATATATTTGTATATATACGTGTATACACACATGTATATATTCATATATAAATAAGTATTTGAACACGTGTCCATTGATTTCTGATCGTCAGACGTGTTTGTCGCCTTTAAAAAGTCCAACCTCCTCCTATGATCCTGCACCAGATGTTCCTGTTTGAAGTCGTTCGCTGCATAAACACACATGTCCACCTCACACACTCCAACTACCAACACGACCAAGACCAAGGAGATCCAGGAGATCCAGGAGATCCAGGAGCTCCAGGAGATCCAGATCCAGGAGATCCAGGAGATCCAGGAGATCCAGGAGCTCCAGGAGATCCAGGAGATCCAGGAGCTCCAGGAGATCCAGGAGCTCCAGGAGATCCAGGAGACCCAGGAGATCCAGGAGCTCCAGGAGATCCAGGAGATCCAGGAGCTCCAGGAGATCCAGGAGATCCAGGAGATCCAGGAGCTCCAGGAGCTCCAGGAGATCCAGGAGATGTCCACAGACACCAGAGACAAAAGCGTCCGCGTCCAGGAGGCTGGCTGCTACAGGGAAACTGCCGAGCAGCTTGGTGAGAAAAGATCCACTGTTGGAGCATCATTAGAAAATGGAAGAAGCTAAACATGATGGTCAGTCGCCCTCGGACCGAGGCTCCACACAAGATCTCACCTCGTGGAGTCTCAGTGATCCTCAGATCATTGAGACTTAGGATGAAGGTGAAGAATCAGCCCAGAACGACACGGGAGGAGCTGCTCCATGACCTGAAAAGAGCTGGGACCAGCGTCTCCAAGGTGTTGGTCACACACAAAGACATAATCATGGTTTAAAATCATGTACGACACAGAAGGTTCTTCTGCTTAAACCAGCTCATGTCAAGGCCCGTCTGAAGTTCACCAACGACCGGCTGGATGATCTAGAGTCATGGAGAAAGTCATGTGGTCAGATGAGACCAACATAGAACTTTTTGGTCATAATTCCATTAACCGTGTTTGGAGGAAGAAGAACGATGAGGACCATCCCAAGAACATCTCCGGACTGTGAAGGACGGGGGGGGGGGGGGGGGTTCTGCACATGGGACGGGGCCACTGCTCTGGATTAAGGAGACGACGACCGGGGCCATGTGTTGTGAGATTTTGGGGAACAACCTCCTTCCCTCAGTTAGAGCGTTGAAGATGTGTCGAGGCTGAGTCCAACATGACAATGACCCGAAGCACACGGCCAGGAGAACCAAGGAGAACCAAAAAGAACCAAGGAGAACCAAAAAGAACCAAGGAGAACCAAAAAGAACCAAGAAGAACCAAAAGGAATCAAGAAGAACCAAGGAGAACCAAAAAGAACCAAGGAGAACCAAAAAGAACCAAAAAGAATCAAAAAGAACCAAGCAGAACCAAAAAGAACCAAGGAGATCCAAAAAGAACCAAGGAGAACCAAAAAGAACCAAGAAGAACCAAAAGGAATCAAGAAGAACCAAGGAGAACCAAAAAGAACCAAGGAGAACCAAAAAGAACCAAGAAGAACCAAAAGGAATCAAGAAGAACCAAAAAGAACCAAGGAGAACCAAAAAGAACCAAAAAGAATCAAAAAGAACCAAGCAGAACCAAAAAGAACCAAGGAGATCCAAAAAGAACCAAGGAGAACCAAAAGGAATCAAGAAGAACCAAGGAGAACCAAAAAGAACCAAGGAGAACCAAAAAGAACCAAAAAGAATCAAAAAGAACCAAGCAGAACCAAAAAGAACCAAGGAGATCCAAAAAGAACCAAGGAGAACCAAAAAGAACCAAGGAGAACCAAAAAGAACCAAGGAGAACCAAAAAGAACCAAGGAGATTCAAAAAGAACCAAGGAGAACCAAAAAGAACCAAGGAGATCCAAAAAGAACCAAGGAGAACCAAAAAGAACCAAGGAGATCCAAAAAGAACCAAGGAGAACCAAAAAGAACCAAGGAGAACCAAAAAGAACCAAAAAGAATCAAGAAGAACCAAGGAGAACCAAAAAGAACCAAAAAGAATCAAGAAGAACCAAGGAGAACCAAAAAGAACCAAGGAGTGGCTCTGGAAGAGGCACGTCAATGTTCTGGCCCAGTCAGTCTCCAGACCTAAACCCAAGAGAAAATCTTTGGAGGAAGCTCAAACTCCGAGCTTCTCAGCGACAGCCCAGAGCTGTGACTGATGTAGAGCAGATCTGTGGAGGAGCGAGCCAGACTCCTCCTGCAGTGTGTGAAAACCTGCTGAAAAACCACAGGAAACGTTTGACTTCTGTAACTGCAGACAAAGTCTCCTGTACCAAAGATGAACTCTGATGTTCTCAGGAGTTTAAATCTTTATTTGCAGCAGAAACAAACAAATAAATAATTACAAAATCAGACGTTGTGATTTGAGGATTTTTGTTTTCAGATTCTGTCACAGTCGACATGAACCAAGAGGAACATCTCCCAGTCTCCACGACTGGAGGAGGGAGAAGATGGAAAATAACAGAGTTTAAATACTTCATTTCCTCACTGTATAAAGTCCAGTTATACCTGTGTGTGTATTTGTATATATGTGTATATATATTTGTATATTTGTGTATATATTTTGAGTATACACACAGTAGAGTTGTACCTGTGTGTGTGTATATATATATATATTGTATATATATTTGTGTATATATTTTGTGTATATACACAGTAGAGTTGTACCTGTGTGTGTGTATATATATATATATATGTATTGTATATATATTTGTGTATATATTTTGTGTATACACACAGTAGAGTTGTACCTGTGTGTGTATTGTGTGTGTATATATATATATATATATATATATAGTGTATATATATTTGTGTATATATTTTGTGTATATACACAGTAGAGTTGTACCTGTGTGTGTATTTGTGTGTGTATATATATATATAGTGTATATATATTTGTGTATATATTTTGTGTATACACACAGTAGAGTTGTACCTGTGTGTGTATTTGTGTGTGTATATATATATATATATAGTGTATATATATTTGTGTATATATAGTGTATATATATTTGTGTATATATAGTGTATATATATTTGTGTATATATAGTGTATATATATTTGTGTGTATATTTTGTGTATACACACAGTAGAGTTGTACCTGTGTGTGTATTTGTGTGTGTGTATATATATATAGTGTATATATATTTGTGTATATATAGTGTATATATATTTGTGTATATATAGTGTATATATATTTGTGTATATATAGTATATATATATAGTGTATATATTGTGTATATATAGTGTATATATATTTTGTATATATTTGTGTATACACACAGTAGAGTTGTACCTGTGTGTGTATTTGTGTGTGTGTATATATTAGTGTATATATATTTGTGTATATATAGTGTATATATTTGTGTATATTAGTGTTATATTTGTGTATATTTTGTGTATACACACAGTAGAGTTGTACCTGTGTGTGTATTTGTGTGTGTGTATATTATATATATAGTGTATATATATTTGTATATATATAGTGTATATATATTGTGTATATTTTGTGTATACACACAGTAGAGTTGTACCTGTGTGTTGTGTGTGTGTATATATATATATATAGTGTATATATATTTGTGTATATATTTTGTGTATACACACAGTAGAGTTGTACCTGTGTGTGTGTGTGTGTGTATATATATAGTGTATATATATTTGTGTATATATAGTGTATATATATTTGTGTATATATTTTGTGTATACACACAGTAGAGTTGTACCTGTGTGTGTATTTGTGTGTGTATATATATAGTGTATATATATTTGTGTATATATAGTGTATATATATTTGTGTGTATATTTTGTGTATACACACAGTAGAGTTGTACCTGGTACGTGGTCCCAGCCGGTGCCCACAGGCATCTCGTCGCTCAGTCCACTTCGTACAAACACGGCTCCTCTGTTGTCGAGCGCCCAAAGCCTCCGGTCACACGGACTGTTCACGATGTGAACCAAGTGAACCCCGACGGGCTGGAACCAAGACCAAGACTAACTCAGAACTAAACCAGGACTATCTCAGAACTACACCAGGACTATCTCAGAACTAAACCAGGACTATCTCAGAACTAAACCAAGACTATCTCAGAACTAAACCAGGACTATCTCAGAACTAAACCAGGACTATCTCAGAACTAAACCAGGACTATCTCAGAACTAAACCAAGACTAACTCAGAACTAAACCAGGACTATCTCAGAACTAAACCAGGACTATCTCAGAACTACACCAGGACTATCTCAGAACTAAACCAGGACTATCTCAGAACTAAACCAGGACTATCTCAGAACTAAACCAGGACTATCTCAGA